AAGCTGAAATATTAAACAAAAAACAACCAAACAATGAAATGTTTAGGGAAACAGTGAAAAAATGGTGCGACGAAACATTGACCAAGTTTGCTGACATACACGCCTCGCTGGATAAGAAAGTACCAAATACCGCTATCCATTTGCACCATGATGAGCAGTCAAATATAATGGACCAGCAGAATATCACAAATGGACCAGAAATTATACACACATTACATGATAAAACCGCAATGAACACGGTTGGTATTAATCCGGAAAACAAAACTACCATAGGTAATGTTTTAGCAACACCGAGAATTACTGTGCTGCCTCCGGTACCAAATGGACCAATTAATAAGTCACCTAGTCATACAGGACGTATTTCCAATAGTATGACCACCTTGATCATTAAAGAGTTTAAGTCATCATTTGCTAATATATTTAATGAGGCAAATGCTAAACTAGACCGACATCGGGATCAAGTTAGTTACGAAGCAAAGACACTAACTGATCTCGATCAACGTGCTAATTATTTGGACTTTTGGGGCCAAACACATCAATTAATTACTAATATTTATGAGTGGCTTAAACGCGTATTTGATTTTGTTCTTGATCAAATTAAACAAGGATTTTATGATGTCAACGAGGCTCTGGTCGGTGTGTTTGACACTGTGGTGCAAATACTTACGGTAGTTTTTAAGTTTAATAATAAACAAGATGTTGACCATAATAAATTAAACTAAAAATTAAATAAATATTTTAAAAAGTATTGTTTTTATTGCAGAGTTAGTTTAGCTAAATAAATGTTAATTAAGAATTTGTATTGTAATTTAACTTAATAAAGAATGATATATTTTAATATTGAACATATCTATTTAATCTGATATTTCACCCTTCAATATACCGCATGCCAATTGTGTTGTAGGCGTCATGGAACTTATTACAAACTTTAGTTGCATTTTACCCTGGGGATAATACAATTAATTGTCATTAATAAAATAATATGTCAATAATTAAAAAATTAAAATGTTATCTAAAACTTACGTTTAATGTAAGGGTTGGCACAAAAATGCGATATTTGAATGACTTGGCACTACCTTTAGGGATACGCCAATGTTTCGGTTCGGGTTTTGGAGTTAACTGACTAATAAGGTTAACACTTTGAGCTTCCGTTCCGCCCAACAAATCCGGGTTTAAATCAGGAATACTCTCATAGACCCAAACTTTGTCAATTTTTTCACCAATGCCCATGGTCAATTTGGCAGTATCAGTATCATCGCCTTTACAACAACAATTAGTTTATTAGTGAGAGAGAGAGAGTGTGAGAGTGTGAGAGAGAGAGAGAGAGAGAATTTGCGATGGCAATTATTGTA